AATGGATGTTTTGTGCTGGTAGCCAGAACAGTTGCTGAACTTCACTTTGGAACTTCCCTTCTACATGCCTGTCAGAGTTTGCAAGCTGAAATTCATAAGTATAGGAAACTATCCAGTTATCCAAAGCAGACAGAGGTAGCGATGCTCGTAAGGATTCTTATTGCTACCAGTTATAACCAGATAATTACCAGGTCTGCAAGGGAGTGACTTATATCCAAGAATTCTTTCACTGGGTACACAAATCAGGAAGTTCTAATTTATTAGTTATTGTTAATGGAAGTGTTCAAAATATCACCCCTGGGGTTTACTTTTAATTTGCTGTTTACACTGGAAAAACTGACGATATCAGAAGGTACCATTACTTCACTCAAGTTTTAATTGAAACTGGCAATGGTGGTCAATACCAGCTAGACTATTAGTTAAATGAGTAAACCAAACAGCAGATTTTTTTTTCCCAACAGGTTTGATTATACTAGGAAATAAATACAGATTCTTCTTTGCTAAGGGCAAAGATAGGTGTGAGAGAATTGCATTTAACTAGGACTTATCTAGCAAATTGAAATGAGTTAGTAAAAATGAGTAAGTAAAAATTACTTATGCATCTTCTTTTTGTTTATTTACTTAGACTCTTAACATTTTAAAATGCTTATAATTGCCAAGAATTTTCAATGATGATATGTGGTTGATGATGGGAAAGCAAGAGGGTTGCTCATATAATTTCTAGATAGTAGAGATATAGGCATGATAAATACTGGATTTTCAGCATATGCACAATTTCAGTCAAGTAACCCGTGATTTAAACCTCAACATCCTTGTACATAGATCACCACTAGCTGGGTAACCAATTGACTTGCCTGGAATATATGAGCCGTACGCACAGAAACCAATATCCCTTTGGGGTAGACTGTTCATTGTCCCTTTGTGGTCATTCTCTCTTTCTTCCTCTTATTATAATGTCCCCAATTTTAGCAAGGCACATGGCTGCCCAGCTAGAGATTTACTCTCCTATTCTCTTTTACAACTTGGTGTGGCCATGTGACCTAATAATTGCCAATGGAGTATAAGCAGAAGTTACATGATCCACATAACTTCCTTAAAAGGAAATTACTCTCTACGTCTCTCTCTTCTTTCCTATGGACTGGAATGTTGATATGATGGTGCGTCAGCTCTGGCCATGCAGATGAGAATAAGACCTGGGTGGTGGTGGTGGGGGGTGGGTGCAGAACCACAGGACAGAATAAAACTGAGTCCCTGGATAATGTTGTGGAGCAGAGTCCCCTACTCACTCTGGGCTGCCCTCCTACCTCCTGACTGTCACATGAAAGAGAAAAAAACTGTCTTGTTTGAACTACTGTATTTGGAGGTTTCTTCTTTGAAAGCAGCTTAGACTGAATCCTAATGAATAAAGTCTATTCATTTATTCAATGGGAAATTCTTTTTCTTTCCATAGGGAAGCTTTTTCTAGCATTTTTTGGAACAAAGTTGGGAAGTTGTATGGTAAGTTTTGGGGAAAAATAAAGTCAGTATTGCACCATGGGAATTAAGAACTTCGGTTTTCTCACTGGGAGAAGATGGCACATTTACATATTCTCTTCTAGGGATATAATCCCATTCACATTAACAGACATTTATTGAGTACCCACTGTGTGTAAAACACTGTAGGAGTCCCTAGGGATACAGAGATGAAACAGACACAGTTCCTGCCCTCAAGGAGCTCACAGTATATTAGGGCAGACAGCAGAAATACAGAAACAAATGCACTATGAGATAGGATGCATATAATAATAGTGACAGAAATGGTGTTCTAAGGAACATAGAGCTGGGGGAGAGGACTCTCATAGTGACAGAGAAGGAAGAAGGATCTCAGGAAGACTTTACAGAAGAGATTGCATTTGAGTTGCATGATAAAGAATTGATGAATAATGGAAAGCCATGGGGCCAGGTTTCTGAAGCAGTGGGATCAACTGTTAAGGAAATTCAGAGAGCACATAAAATATCCAGACTTTGCTGGAGTATGGGATGGGTGAGAAGAAGTGGTGAGACATAACTCTGGAAAGGTAAATTAAGGTCACATAGTGAAGGAGCCTTGAACATTATACTAAGGAATCCTTATTTATTTTTTATTTTAAATGTTCATTTTTTAAAAAAGAATCTTTACTTTAAACTGATAGGGAAATATTAGAGGATTATAAATACTGTAATTAAAAACCAATGGCATGCTCTGGGATAGTGATTCTCAAACTTTAGTGTGCACCAGAATCTCCTGGAGGGCTTATAAGAGGAAGTTGATGCCCCCCCCCCCCCTCTGAATTTCTGATTCAGTATGTCTTCAATGGGGCCCTAGACTTTGCATTTTTAACAACTTCCTGGCTGATGCTCATGCTGCTGGTCGGGAACTGCCCCTCTGAAAACCACTGTTCTAGGAAGATGTCTCTGATAGACCACTGTCATAGGAAGATATATCTGATAGGTGTGCAGATATGTGGCCACAGAGTGACAGGTGAAGGACTTGAGAGGTAAGATCAGATAAGAAGATTTGGAATGGGTGAAGAAACCAAATTATTGGAGAAGAAGGGATCATATTCAAACATTTCTGTAGAGGTAAACATATAAGACTATCTGGATGTGAGACACAAGCCACAAAGAGAGAGGATCACATTTATTTAATATGAATGATAAAAAGCATGGTAATCCTGTTATCTGAGGTGGGGAAGGTGGAAGGAGGAGAAGGTTTGAGTGTGGGAAAATGATCCTGAGTTCAGTTTAGAAAAGCTGTGTTTGAGGAACCAACAGACAGTTCATAGGGAGATGTTCACTGGATGTAATTCATGGGTCTGGAATTTGAGAAACACAGAGATCAGAACTAAAGACACAAATTGAAGAGCCATAGGAATGGACCTCATTGTTAAAATGATGGGATAAGATTGAGTATGGAGACACAGGAGGTAAGAGCTGAGGACAATGCTCCAGGAGAAAGGAAAAGAGACAAAAAATGAGGTGGTTGGAGAAACAGGGGAGTAAAGTATTCTGGAAAGCACAGGCTTAAACAAGAAAGGGAGGCTTAGCTGTTTTTTTTTTTTTAATGTTTATTTATTTGTTTTGAGAGAGAGAGAGAGTGAGCATGCACATGTGAGCAGGGGAGGGGCAGAGAGGGAGAGAGAGGGAGAGGGAGTGAGAGAATTCCAATCAGGTTCCATGCTGTCAGGGCAGAGCCCGATGTGGGGCTCGACCTCACGAAACTTGAGATCACGACCTGAGCCGAAACCAAGAGTCTGATGCTTAACCGACTGAGCCACTCAGGCTCCCCTTAGCTGTTTTACCTGATGACAGATTGTGAAGCAGATGAGGACAGAGGGAAGGCCACTATATTTGCCTACTGGGAGATGTGTTTCAGGAGAGCTAGGAAGGGCACACCCAGATGGCAAAGGATGTGAAAGTCAGTGGAAGGTGAGAGGTGGAGCAGAATGAAGGATTGATGAGTGGAGAAGCTCAGGTGGGAGAGACAGGAGAGAGACGAAGCAGGAGCTTGAGGGGGAAGCAGGGTCGGGGAAGTATACACCAGTGTCCAAGAGACTTGAGCAAATGAAAAGGTGAGATTCAAGAAGAGTGGGGAGAGGAAGGGATGGGAGGTAGGGAGGGGGGAAGTGAGGGAGGAGAGGTATGGGGGAAAGAAGTTGGGGGCAAAGGAGAGAGGTGCAAGATTACAGAAAAGGTTAGAGAGCTTAGATTTAAGGCTAAAACATGGAGGTGGAGAGGGAGCAAATGCAGGTCTTCTCTGTAAACCAAGAAGAGATATGACCCTTGGAGGGTGAAGAGATGAGGAGAAGCTGTGGATGAGATGAGGAGTCACTGACTTGAGAGTGCACAAGCATTTACAAACTTTCATTCCCTTCTGTCATCACTCGTGACTTAGTGGTAAGCTCCTCCTCGTGACTAGAGCAGTCACCCCAGCTGAGGAGAGGCGCGTGTGGCCTCAGGTCCCATCTGTAGCCTCCTGGCCCCAGGGTGCAGTCTGGCATGGAAGCCACAGAGGTTCCAGGGGTCACAATTTCACACTCATCTCCTTGATGGGTGTAAGCACAGATGTTCAACTTTTGTTTTTCCAAGTGCACACTGGTAATTTAATGAGTAGCATTCTCCAGCACAGTTCTTCAGATAATATATTCCTTCATTTGATCACCCCACCCTGTGAAACTGCTTGTACTCCCACCTGAATCCTGTCAGCATGAGGGAGTGTGTGCGAGGCTTAGGGGGACACTTCTCCGAATAGGAGGAAGTCCAGTGTGCCTGTCAGGTAGTATAGCAACACATGGACCGAAGTATATTTAGGTTATTTTGTATTTGTTTATGTTTCATGTTCATAGTTAGAGACCCAGGAAAGCAGAGGATTCATTCCAGGTTCTCTTTAGAGAATGAGGAAGCGTATTTAATCATGAACTAAAAAGGATACATCAGCTGTACTATTTGCACCTAAAAGGATGTAGTCACAGTAAATGACTTTGGTTCAGGTCTGCAAGCAGATGGCAGCACATCACTTTTTAAAAAATGCTTTATGGAGTCATGCAGTTCCCACTAAAATTTGCACAAATATGGAGCCATGACCCCAGGTTTAATGCCACACGAAGGTAACTTATCAGGTATTTGATTTATAAGTAATAAGAAATTCTGCAAATGAAGATTTATTTTGGCATTCTTTAATTGCAGGATTAACTGAAATGGCTAAAAAAAGTAGTTACTATTTCACCTTATTATTATTTCTATGAAATTTCTGTCTTTATATGATAATGTTTATTTGAAATCATGTACCACAATAAAACCAGAGGTAGAAAACGGCACACCAAATAACAAACCTCAAACAAAACAGAACAAAACAAACAAAAAGACCACACTACCTCACAAAATTTCCTGAACCAACTATGTTCACAAATTGATAAGTTGCACCCCTTACCCTTGTCCACTCACAAGGCTGGTAAAAGTGATGCTTTTTGGCTTTTTGCAATCTAAGTATGTTCTCGGCACTTAATGAGCTTTTTAAAAGCCAGCTTAAAGTCTTCATTAAAACTTGTGTAGAGCAGAGGGTTGATCAGAGAATTAACATAACCGAGCCACGTCAAAAAATCAGCCACTTCAGAGGACACTGTATAGATGCTCAGACCTACAATCAACTCTTTGATGAAAAATGGCAGCCATGACAAAATGAATGCACCCAAAATCAGTCCTAGGATTCGTGCTGCCTTGCGCTCCCTGGTGCTAGAGATTTGCTGCCGTTCTCCAGGGTGATCTAGATCATTGTCGAAGGAAGGGATCCTGATAGAGGTGTGGATCTTCTCAAACTCTGTGGTAGGGTCTGAGGTGGAGAAATCAGACACACAGAAAGTCTGTGTAAGTTTACAACTCGCAAAAGAATTTTGGCTATCTGTGCTTCTGTTGCTTAAGTGCCGGCTTGATCCTCTTTTCTGGTAAAGGCTCTTGGCTGCATGATAAATACGGTAATACAGAATAAGTATCAAAGTCAAGGGGATATAAAATGCCCCCAGTGTGGAGTAAATGGTGTAGATGACATGGTCATGCTGGATTGTGCACTGACTAGGGCGTGGGCTCAGCTGGCGGTGGCTCCTCCAGAACAGAGGGGGCATGGAGATGAAGATGGAGATGGTCCAGACGGTGAGGATCATCAGCCCAGCCCTCTTGGCCGTCCTCTTCCTGGCATATTCAATAGCATTGGTGATGGCCCAGTACCTGTCCAGGGCAATCACACAGAGATGGAGGATGGAGCAGGTGCAGCAGGTCATGTCCACACTCAGCCACACCTCACAGATGAAGTACCCTAGTTTCCAGCTTTCCATGGCAATGTACATGATGCTCAGGGGCATGACAAGCACTGCCACCAGGAGGTCCGTCACGGCCAGAGAACAGATCAGGTAGTTGGCAGGCTGGTGGAGCTTCTTGGTGGTACAGATGGCCATGATCACGGCCAAATTCAACAACATGGTCAGGGTGGTGATGGTCACCAGAGTCATGGAAATGAGCATCTTCTCAGTGACAGTCTTGGGTCTCACAGCCACACTGGCTTCTGTGGTACAGTTAGTGATATTCATGTTTTCCCTGCTTTGATCTACACTGTGGAGAAGCTATTGGTTATTTTCCCTCAGCTGGAAACTGCTCAGACTTCAGTGCCTCTCATTTATAAGAAGATTGTAGTTTGTTCAGCTTTGTAGTTTCTTATGTTCCATTTTGTATGGGGTAAAAGGAAGCACCACAGCATTTCTTCTGAATGGAGGGTTCCTGGAAAATAGTATGCTACTGGTTAATGAGTGAAAAAACATATTTTTTTCCCTCTGGAAAACATTATCATATTTCAGTATTCGTAAATTCTTTACACATATTTTTGATATAACTTCCTTTTTTATCTGTGGGTTTGAAGTTTATTTTTATTCTTCAAAAGATACCTTTTAAAAATTATAATTGACACACAATGTTACATTAATTTCAGGTGTACAACATAGTGATTCACAAGTTTATTCCTTATGCTGTGCTAACCACAAGTGTAGCTACCAAAAAGATACTTCTTAAAAAGTTAAGTTCCCAAACTCTTTCTCATGAAAACATTACCAACTTGAAAGTCTATCTTGCCACCTGAATTACTTTCTTATTTACATTTATTCATATATATGTAACATTTATATGTAAAAGGGGTTTTTTTCTTTACATTTGGAAACATACATTCACATTGTATCATATTTTAGAAATTCAGGGACATTAAAGAAAAAATTATATTGTTTATAATAAGCAGATTTCAAACCAGTTTTATTTTTTAAAAATTTTTTTTCCAACGTTTATTTATTTTTGGGACAGAGAGAGACAGAGCATGAACGGGGGGCAGAGAGAGAGGGAGACACAGAATCGGAAACAGGCTCCAGGCTCTGAGCCATCAGCCCAGAGCCTGACGCGGGGCTCGAACTCCCAGACCGCGAGATCGTGACCTGGCTGAAGTCGGACGCTTAACCGACTGCGCCACCCAAGCGCCCCTGAAACCAGTTTTAAAGTTCCATAACAAATTTCAACTCCAAAGATATTTTAATGTCACAACGGAATTGTGCAATTTTGTCTAATTATTTCTGACATTTTACTATCCCACTGTGCATTTCTTTGGAGAAAAGAGAGAAAAAAAGCATATAACACTACTTTGATGTTTATGGCAAATTGTTCTCAGAGTAATATGGTAAATTGTGAAATAGCATTATCATCAAGGTCAAAGAAATGTACGTTAAAAAATGTGTTTAGTTTTGGTTAACATTTGTGTTCTTTTAGTATCTATCTATCTATCTATTAGTTGATCAATTGATCAACCTACCTACCTACCATCTATGATCTGTCTGTCTCCTGGATAGCTGTGATTAAGCTGGGCAATCACTGAGATACTGACATTTATTGAATGCATAGTTGTAAGGAACTTTAAAAAAGTACGAGAGTCCGCCTTATCTGTAGTTTCGCTTCCGCACTTTCAGTTACCACGGTCTGCAAGCCAATGATCCTTTCTGACGAATCAGCAGAAGGTCAGTAGTAGCCTAACAATACGTCACGATGGCTGCGTCATACACCTCACTTCATCTCATCACGTAGGCATTTTATGTCACATCATCACAAGAAAGGTGAGTACAGCACAGTAAGATATTTTGAGAGACCATATTCACATAATTAAAAACATTTTTAAAAAATGTTTATTTATTTTTGAGAGACAGAGCACGAGTGGGGGAGGGGCAGAGAGAGAGAGTGACACAGAATCTGAAGCGGGCTCCAGGTTCGGAGCTGTCAGCACGGAGCCCGATTTGGGGCTGGAACTCACAAGCTGTGAGATGATGACCTGAGCTGAAGTCAAGACGCTTAACCGACTGAGCCGCCCAGGTGCCCCACATTAACTGTTATTATAGTATATTGTTATAATTGTTCTATTGTCTATTAGTTATTGTTGTTAATCTTTACTAAACCTAACTGATAAATTAAACTTTATCATAGGTATGTAAGTATAGGAAAAAAACATAGTACATACAGAATTTGGTACTACCTGCAATTTCAGGCATTTACTGGAAGTCTTGGAATATGTCTCTTGGGATAAGGGGGAGCTACTGTAAACTCAAATATAAATGTATACTCATGAAAACAAGACAATCAAAATCAACATAGGAATATTCACAGCCAATGGCTGCTGGTCAGAATGCCAATCAAATCCTCTAATTTGTCTCTGTGGGATTCGGTCCAGGAAAACTTCAAAGAAAACTGACATTTTTGCGGTTTTAAGAAGGGACATGGATTGATACGGATTAGGTTTAACAGGCACGATGATGTTAGCAAAGAATGAGGACAGGAACAGGTGAGGCATGTGTAAAATGGAGAGTGGAGTATGTAGGAGTCTTCGCGTGGAATGGGGACTGGAAGTCAGGGGGCAGGAATAAAAGTCTCCAGCCATGGTGAGATCTCTCTGGCTCTGGATTTAATTGCTTCTGCCCATTGGGCAAAACCCAAGGAGACGGGGAGATAGTTACCATCTATCCTTTAGATATGGAAAGTAAAAGAAAATGATTTCACTAAAGACCAAAAATGGGGCAGTTGTTTTTAAGACAGTCTTTATTTTTCTGCAGTGAAATGAGATTCATTCTGCCTCTCTGTTGTCATTATGCTTCTACAGCATTTCTGTGGATGTACCCTTTTTTGAAATTCGTATGTTTCTCTAGTTCTTCCATGGGACTTGTTCTGCCAACAATCCCCTCCTTTTTGTAAATTAAATGTTTTCGTCTCCACTGGTTATTTACCCTTCTTTTATAATCAGTTTAAACTTACATTTATATCTAAGACAGGCTGTAGCATTGAAAGTATATGGGCTTTGGAATCAGGGAGACCCGGGTTGTTGCTGAGCCATCATCAGCTTGGGGCAATCTCACTACATTTCCCCCTGTGTCCCACCCCTTTCTCTTTAAATGAAGGAAAGTTCTTTTTTTTTCTGCAAAAATTAATCCTAAGTTATGTTTTTCTTGAGTTCTTGAGGTTTGTTGGGAGAGCAGTTCTAAATAAAAAGGCTTTTCCATTCTGATCAGAAGATTGAGAGTTTGGAGAGTAGCATGGAGAAGAGACAGAAAACTTCAGAAGTTTTAGTTTGATAATAGAGATAATTAGGAAATGTTATTTTCAAAGCATCAAGTAAAACAAAAATCAAATAATTCAGCTTTATCAAGCTTTTAAAAGCTGCTCTAGGGGCGCCTGGGTGGCTCAGTCAGTTATCCCTTGATTTCAGTTCAGGTCATGGTCTCAGGATTCGTGAGTTTGAGCCCCGCATTGGGCTCTGCTGACAGCAGAGACTCTGACTGGGATTCCTCCCCTGACTCACTCTCTCTGCCCCTCCCTGCTCTCTCTGTCTCTTTCAAAGTAAATAAATAAACGTTAAAAAAAAATTAAAAGCTTCTCTATTTATCTGAGCTTCCATACATCCTGTCATTTCTCCAGTGACATCATTTTCTTCCTTATTTTGTCACTATTTATTTTTCATTCCCCCCCAGAAGACTATACATTCTGGAGGGTGGGATGTATGCCTGATTCATCTTTTTAGCTGCCTTCAGTTAAATTAGCAAAAACATTACTGGTTGAGGCTATATTGTCAGCTCTTTAATGTGACTCCCTGGTTTATTTTGTGCCCAGGCCTTTCAGAATAGAAGTTGAGTGTTGTATCCTTGTGTTGTCAGTCACTCCAAATTCCTGCACACATCCAGCTTTCCATCTTTTATCTTTTTTTCATTTAACATATATCTTAAAGTTTGTTCCATAACACCATATGGAACGCAGTCTTTCAAATCACTGGGTGGGATGACATGGGAGCAATTACAGATTGAACAAGTCTGAGAACTGCACCTTGGAGCTTTTCACTAATCAAAGGTCAGGAAGGAAAGGAGGAACCAGTGAAACAGAGGAGAATAGCTCTCGAGGTGGAGGAGAATGATGGAGATAATCCCAAGACCAAGTGAAGAAAGTGCATGAAGAGCAATCAGCTGTGTAAGTGCTGCTGACAGGTGGTGGGTGACGAGGACTTGATCATTGGGCTGGGCAATGTGGATGACACTGATGACCTTGACAGGACCCATTTGGTGCAGTGGTGGAGATGAAAGTCTGAATGTGGTAGCTTCAAGAAAGAATGGGAAGAAAGGAAATAGAGGATTGGATAAGAACAAGTATTTCAAGAGTTTTGCCTTTGAAAAGGGGAACAGAGAAATAAGGTAGCTATGGGGGGAGATGTGGGGTCAAGGTTGTTTTCTTTTTAGGATGAGAGATTGTCTTTTTAAACTGGACTGTTTACAGTTTTCTTTGCTGCTACACCCAATATACTTTATATTGGGGCAGAGAGCATTTCTGGAGTGAGTGAAATGTAAAAGAGGAAGGAGGAAAGCAGTGATGGAATAGGCAGGGAGTCAGTGGGGTGGGGGCACCAGGTAGGTAGAATTCTTTGAGCAATTTCAGGGATTACATTGGGGATCATGAAAGGGAAAAAGATATAGCCATACTCAGGAAATGATCCAACTTCAATTGTCTTGGTTCCTTTACCTTGTTAAGGAAATAGCACATGGTTTTATAATCACTAGCAATTCCTTAGGAGGTAGTATGATTTCTTTTTTTTTTTCTTTTTTCTTTTTTTAAAATTTTTTCTAGAGGTAGTATGATTTCTAATTAGAACAATGCTTGTTAAATAGCCCCCCAAAATTTAAGTCTCTTTTGCCTTTAACATAGTAGGAGAGGAGGAACTATGTAACACTTAACTCAAAACACATGCTGCAGAACAATCCAAACACTAATATCAATACACCAAGCTTGCGTTAGTCCACTGGGATGCAAAATTAACTGCAATAATCACAGCTAAAAATGGACATATCCTATCAGGAGTTAATGGGGGGAGGTTTATAAAATTTAGTTTCTGTTCTGATTATGACATGGAAAATACCAGTGCAGCCCAAAGCCATATTTAAATAGTTTTTCATTGAAATTACAAATAGGGAGAATCACTGTAAACCAAATGGGTCGGGGTATACTGCTTTCATTTACTGAGATGCTTCAGAGC